ATGTGAAAAATGTGTGATTGCTACGTGGTCATGGTAATTGAGAAATGAATATAGAAAGATGAATAAGCAAAGAGACTATAAATGAGGGAAGAAATCCTTGAAATACATTAATTATTGAATTGATATTGAAGGATTATAATGAGATAAACAAATGTTGATAAATGTGTGACTTCCATATGATCTTAAAAGGGATATATGTGTACCCATGTGGATAGACAAAGTGAATGAATGTGAAGTATGGAGTCCTTGAGTTATTACCATGATGAAATTGATATGAACCCTTAGTGGTTAATTGTGCGTTCTATCTAGGATATTTAATAAGATAGACATGGACTTAGAATGAGTGATGGACTACAGCCATGCTCAAAGGAATAGGTGGAGTCTACCTAGAACTATATGACGGCAGCCCAAGGAGTCTTGATGAAGACTAGCTCGAGGTTGATAGATTATGATTACTCGAATACAACAAGTGTTGTTGAGCTTGAAGCCACGACTAAACAATGATATAGAAGCTATGTGATATATTCGGGGTGTGTAAGCCCTAGTCGAATAAAGATTATATTCGGGGTGTGTAAGCCCTAGTTGAATAAAGATTATACGGGGTGTGTAAGCCCAAAATGAATAAAAGATATTACGCGGGATGTGTAAGTCCTACATGAATAAAGATTATACGGGGTGTGTAAGCCCTAAACGAATAAGAGATATTACGCGGGGTGTGTAAGCCCTACATGAATAAAGGTTATACGGTGTATGTAAGCCCTAAACGAATAAGTATTATACGGTGTTTGTAATCCCTAACCGAACGAAGCGTATACGGGGTGTGTAAGCCCTAAACAAATCAAAGATATTATACTGGGTGTGTAAGCCCAAAACGAAGGAATACAACCGTACGTAGGGTGTGTATGTCCAATATGGATGAGTACAAAGAATAAAACGTGTAACCCTTTCGATGGAATTGGGTTTAGACTAGGGGTGATGTAACCTCTCGAAACTGCTATTTGCAAGTATAGGCCAAGGGTTGTTTTAAAGGGAATTCTTTTGAAATACAAATGGACTTACGGGCCGGCTATTTGAATTGTATATATATACTATACAAGTGATTTGAAATGGGGTAGCTATAGATTATGCTCATAATATAGTATCACCCTATGTTGAGGGTCTTGTGTTTGAAACATGGATTATATGTCGTATACTTGTCATTGTACTTTTCAAATGCTTAAAAGTACTGACCTCCCCTTCACGGGGGAGGCCACCTCATAGTTTTCATGTAGAAGCTGGAGCTTGCTTCCTGTTCCCGTTGCTTCGGGTGATCTATGGAGAGAGGACGTGGTTCGTTCTTCTTCCAATTCTATTTTGATACAAATAAAATGATGCTCATGGAAACTATTTTAAACTATAAATGATTTGGGAGCTTGTGTGCTCATGTTTGCCCTGTGTGGCCTTTGACTTTAAAACTGTATTTGTTTTCCGCTGCGTATTTGAAATGCTTTGTTTATGATTGTTTATGGATGTACTTGTGTGAATGGTATTCATGTACGCCTTGCATGATTCGAGAGAGGTAGACTGCGGTTGCCTTAATCGGACTCTGCGACGGTTTTTAGCGTGTCCGGCTAGCCCGTGGCGTGACAATTAAATGGTATCAGAGCCATAGCCCATAAACTTCATAATGAAGTTCCTCAAAAGTGTTTTCTTCAAAATCATTTTGGAAACCATGAACATAAAATGTTTTGTACTAAAAGAGTCTTTGGTACTTGAGTTGCAATGTCTCTGGTTGTTAAGACGGGCCCTTTAACAATTGGTATGGCGGTGATTTGAGCCAAGTGGTGTCTTAAGTACTTATTTGTCAGTCGACATTGAAACGAGTCTGATGACTCATTCTAAAAATTTCTTTCAGAAACGAGAGGTGGAGGCATGATAACTAGGAAGAACCGAATAGGGCGTGCACCGAGCGAAACTGGGCATGTCAACCGGGGGAACTCTAGAGTATCTAGGGAAAAAGAGAGAGACCGAGGAGGCCAAGGGATCCAAACTATGGATAGAGTACATTTGGAGACAGTGTGTAGGTCTTGGGAGTCCGAAGAAGACTCAACGTATAAACCTAAAACATAATCTTTTGAAACCTCATATGATGAGAGTGATGATTATAATGAGGAGGACAATGATGTCTCCTTGGATGTAATTAGTTAGGTATTTGAAAAATACCAATGTGAATGGGAACTAAAAAAGAAACGACACCATGAGAGGCGAATTAGACAAGTGGCTTCCAAGAGAGGAAGTTGTAATACATGTGGGGCACATAGGGATAGTACTAGAAATCGAAGTGATGAGAGTCCTATTATATGGGTCGCTAAGTATCTTAAAGAGGCAAGAGCATTCAGATGTAAACCGTTTGATGGAACGGGAGATATATCTGAGGCCGCAGAATGGGTTAAGAGGCTTAATGAGGCAGCCGACGATATGCAATTGACACCTAACCTTAAGATGAGGGTTGCCACTAGAATGTTGGAGGGATTGACTACAATATGGTGGGATGCTGTCAAGGGTAAATTCAATGGAGTCGTCACGTGGGACAACTTTGAGCTTGAATTCTATGGGCAATAATACTCTTCCTTTGAAGTATATCAAAAGAGGAGAGAGTATACTAACCTCAAACAAGGTGAGGAATACACAGACAAACAGTTAGAGCAAAAGTTCCGAGACTTAGCTAGATTTCTTCCGGAGTATGCGACGAATGAGGACCGTATGGTCGACCACTTCTGGAACGCGTTGAATTTGGAGGTGCGTGAGAGAGCGACCTACCAAAAGAGCATGATGTTTAATGAGGTGGTGACACAAGGCCTTATCGGGGAAGAGATGTGGGAAGAAAGAAAGGCTAAAAATGCCGAGGAGGCTAGAAAGAGGATGTGGGAAATCAATGATTCCCATGATCAAAGCAAAAGGCCGAATATCGGGTTGGAGGAAATTTTTTAAATGTCTATGCCACCGTCAATGTATAATCAAGGGTCCGTAACCCAAGGAGTGAAATCTCTAAGCTCTAGGGTGCGAAGATGTGATAATTGTGATAAGTACCACTACGGGAAGTGTCGTGAATCAAGGAGGTGTTTTTTTTTGTGGGGATACGGGACCCATGAAGTTTCATTGTCCTCAACGGGGAAGTAAGACTACTTCAGGGGCTAATGGAGAGACCATAGGAGATATGAACCTAGCGGGGACATCTCAAGCGAGCACACGACCTATAGGGAATAACGTGAGCAACATACACTCCATGAATCAAAGAAGAACTAAACGATGAGTTTGCACGAGGAGGGGACTATTTCTTGCATGGACACGTCCACCGTTACAGGTAACCCATCTTAAAAACTTGATCTAAATGCATATTTACGTCATATGATTGTTTATGGATGTACTTGTGTGAATGGTATTCATGTGCGCCTTGCATGGTTCGAGAGAGGTAGACTGTGGTTGCCTTAATAGGATTGTGTGGCGGTTGTTAACGTGTCCGGCCAGCCCGGGGCGTGACAAGTTCAGCCCGACAGAACCAACGTCCTTTGTTTTAGTCCTGCTCCAGCCCTCTCTCCAGTGTGCCTCCCCAACATCCAATCCCCATACCCAACGCAAAAACCCTAGCCGTGACCTGCAACAACCGCTCCATCGTAGACGACGGTGGATCTGGCCCACGACGATGACTGATCTGACGGAATCCAACATTTCAATAGCTATGAGTTTATATCTTCGTTGCGATTGAGTTCTAAGGGAGAGCGCGGCGATGGCGGTTTGAATTTCAGGGGAGAAAGTCGCGACTTGCAACAAACCGCTCCATCTAACAGATGCGAGGACGACACAGGTGCGACGAACCGGAGAAAAGGTGTGTTGCGTCGGCGACTATCAACTGTGGTGTTGAGTCCGGTGAAGACTATTTCACCAGCGGTGACACTCCCAGCTCGGTGCTTCCGCCGTTGATGAGATGAAAAGCTCAGCTCGGGAGATTGGCGTAGATATGTTGATTCGCAGGTGAGTCGCGTGAGGCGCAAATAAATAGGAACGGAAGTCTTATGTTTGGAATTGTAAAAAATAGTCCTATTTTTGTCTTTAAGAAGTCCATGGGTAATACTCGTGCCATTATTTCACAATTTAATCTAATTTTAACAAAAACAATCCAACTAAAAGAACATTTAAAAAGGGTCTAATAAACGAATTTATACAGGCAAAAGGGCATCAATTGAGAACCCATTGTTCTCTATACATACCCATAAAATAATTAAGACACAGAAGTCACATATTGTACTTTAATCAAAATCTCATTTAATGTACATAATAACTAGCTAACTAATCTTAGTGCCCAAAAATGAGAGAAACAAAAATTATTTTCTTCATCCTACAAATGACAAGTTTTGGCCAAAGATTAAAATCTTATACGAAGTTTTTTTTTGACAAAACCGTGAATAGTCAAATACACAATCAAAATTGTTTAAATTAAAAGATATGACACAAGTAGACATTTGTTTAGGGAAACTTATTGTTTTAATTATGTAACTTTTATATTTTGCTCACTTTTAATCCTATAACTTTACGCACATGCAGATTTAATCCTGTAATTAGTGAATTTCTCCATAATAAGTTCTCCACCGGAAAGTACACTTGTTGAAAACAAAAACAAATTGGCCACTGCTAGCGTTTCCGTAAAAAATAATACATTTAGATGAAAAACTCTTTAGTACAAAGTATATACTAGTATAAGTTTATTGACTACTTCATACTCTCCCGTCCCCAAAAGATTGACCAATTTGACTTTTCTTGGTCAATGGTGTTCAAATTTAGACAATGATTTTAGACATTATAGTTGTGTGTAATTTATAAATTTTATACTTTTATGAGAGTTTTTAATAAAGAATATGACCGTATAATTTTCATATTTTAAAATAATTTTGTACTAAAAGATATTATTGGTCAAACTTGACCCCATTGATCAAAGAAAGTCAATAATTTGACCAATCTTTTTGGGAGTATAAGGCTAACTGTGCAAGAATGTGAAATTACCAAATAAAAAATGAGAACGTGAATAAGTTAGGTCTAAATCTACAATTTTCTACGTATGTATGTAAATGAATTCATAGATCACTCCATCTGGGAAATAATGCCAAGGCAGACGCTAGTCATGTTAGCCAACTTGTCTCCTATATTGGTCAATGGCAAGCCCAAACCGGCGAGCGAGTCATTGCAGTCGCTCATATCAGACACGACGGCGCTAAGCATGGAATTCATGGTCCCGACGTCAGAGTCCTTTAGCGCCTTAATGGTCTCATCGAAATTGTACAAAGCATCATCATAGCTCCCCTGACAATCCTTGACCTTGGACGCCGCTTTTCCCGTTTGAGACATGGAGAGCTTCTTCGCCATGGCGCTCCCGACCTTCGCGAGCTCGTAGCTCGCATTTATCCCAGCTTCAAGAACCGCCTGCGTGTCAGCGGCACCACCGTTGAGTAGCGGAGAGATCGTGGTGATGCAGAGCTTAGCGTCTTCCGTCCCGTCGCATATCTTCTTGAGCTCATCGGTGGTCTTCGGCGTCGTCTTTGCTTGGTCGGTGGCGGCGGCGGCGGGAGAGGCCTTTTTGGGTCTGAGGATAGGGTGAATGATATTGGACTTGGACTTAGAATGCACACATAATGGGTTGGAGGAGATGAGGAGGAAGAAGAGGAAGATGAAGAAGAATATTGCCCTTTGGGGAAGATGAGATTCCATGTTTGGAGTTGGAAGTGGCAAATCAAAGGGAAAAACAATGGATGTGTTTTGGAGTGAAATAGGGAAGAAGAGAAGGTGTGCATGTAAGGGGAAAGACATACCATTGAAATGGAGTATGGGTATTGAAAATAGGACAACCTCAAAAAAATGACACCTAATGACATACAACTTACATTTTTTTCAAATTTTTACTGAAAGTGTTTTCTTAGAGCTTTGATCATTGCGAGGGAGGATTGCATTAGAGCCACACAACTTACATTTTTCAAATTTTTAGTGAAAATGTTTTCTTAGAGCTTTGATCATTGAGAGGGAGGATTGCATTAGAGCCACACAACTTACATTTTTCAAATTTTTAGTGAAAGTGTTTTCTTTTTTATGTGTAGCCAATCCGATGTGTGAAAATTTTAACTTCAGTTAGATAATGTGGAAATCTCATTAGACTCTCACTTTTTGCCAATTTGGTCCATTATATCATTCTCATGGCACTATATAAGAGTCTTCCACTTTTAGACTTAATTACTTATGACACAATTTACATAAAATAATGTGTGGAAATAATGACGAAAATATGACTAAAATGAAGGTAGCCGATGAAAATGTGACCTAATATTTCAGTAATTATAGTAATAATACGTTTATGTTCAACTTACTATAAAATGCACAATTCTTTCATTTGAAAAGCAAAAGTGTATAAAATATTTTCACCATGGAACAACAACGGAATGATATCTCTCCAAATAAAACAATGTCTTTTATGGTTTTCTTCAATTCCCAAAAGAACGTTTTTTAGAATCCCCAAAGCACGTTTAATGATCATGTTTTAGTTCTTTGTATTATTCTCTCAAACTTATTAGTATTAAAAAACATCGTGTTAATGACATAGATTCTATGACATACTTGATATGCAATATATCAACAATGCTTGTTGTACCCACCCCTTATACCCACCTCTGTGAAGGCTACTTTTTGTCTGTGAATCCGATTCAAAGATAAAAAAAAACTCTTCACAAACATGGGTGGGTATAGAAGTGGGTATAAAAGTAGGCACAAACATCATTTTTGTGCAATAAAAGTAAAATTTATCTATATTTTTTTATTATCAATCAATTAGAACGAGTTCCAATTTTTATTATACAGTCGAGGGACGAGAGTTAGGACACGTTTATTTTACCGTGACCAAACTATTCTTCCCATATCTAGCGCCTAAAGCAATACTGTTTGACATGAAGAGTGTAACACCCCCAAACTCCGTTTCCAAAATAATTCTTAGATTATAAATTGTTTATTAGAAATAAACATTCAAAAGTTATGCAGCGAAATATAACAACTTGGAATATGAGTGTGTTACCGCCACATTCAGCTATTAACTAACTGAATGCTGAGGTTATCCACCATTAAAACATAAATTTAATAAATGTAAAGAGTTTCTAACTCATTATATTATACATTACTTTTATTTCTAGGTTTTCTAAGCAACGCTTTCAAAATTAATCATTCGTCATAATCATCACCTGAAAATATTCAAAGGGAAAAGAGAAAACAAAAAGAAACAAAAATTAGCTTTCGCTAAGTAAAATTCCACACAACCCCGTAAAATAATATAATTTGAAACATATATATAATTTTGTAAAACTTTTTTATTCTTGCTAAAACAAATGTGTTTTTATTTACACCTTATAAGCTCCCATCTTAAATGGTCAACATGATAGGAAAACTGGAAAAGTATCGTGTATTCTTATCTTTGTTCATGGTGAGATGACTTGACATTTTTATTATCTTTGTGCACAGCGCAAGCAACGGACAATGTAGCCATAGATGGAAATATTAACTCTATCCTCAAGAAATTGAAAACAAGTCATTTCCAAACAAAGCGGGAAGAAGTGATTAGACCATCTCCGGTGATTCGGTGAAGTGGCGCAGCAAAGCAGTGGTCAGGACTCAGGAGTGTGGAGGAAGTTTGCAGAGACATAGCTTGTGGTGAGCATGGAGAGGCTAGAAATATTGGAGTGCTTTTACAAGATTACATATGCAAAGAGTTGATTCAAGAACTAGTTAAGGAGTTGGGCTACTCAAAGTACTCTCCTTGGAAGCATTCCCTTCCCTTCGAGGCATGTAGGAGAAGGCTTTGTCTCTAAACCCAGAATCCCACAAACCAACAAGTGTGTCAGTGAGTGTGTGGCTTTGTTTTCTCATTTTTACACTATGATTTGTAGTCTTGTAGACAATAGTATCTGTAAACATACCACAACATTATATAGTTTATCGATTGATATAGTTTATCATGTGCTCACAAAGTTAAAACCACCTATCTTTCTTTCGTTCTGGAGGGGGGGAGGGGGGTGAGTGGTACAATGATATGCAAATTACATAAGGAGTATTTACAATGATCAGATACACATCATCTACTGGGGGGAGTGCATTTTTGTCCCGCAACTATCAAACTTGATTGATAAAGTCATCTGGTGGACCTGGTTAATGTGAAACTGTTAAATTTAAAAGGCCAAATTGCATTTTGTTTTAGATGCTAGTCTTCTGCATTTCTATTCATACAAAAATGTAATTTGCATTTTAAATTTTAAAAAATTGCTACTTCACCACATTCATTTGGATCCTAAACTTGAACAATACTACTTTGGTAGACTTGGCAATTTTTAATGGCTTCAAGAGTATATTATATTATTCTTGATGGTTTTGAAAAAAATGTCTCTAAAGTGCCAAAACAAATCTAACATGGCTAGTTTTGCAACCCCTATATAGTTATGGAACCCCAAATGATGCATATTACCCAGTTGGCATAGTGCCTCTAAAGCCGATTCCATGTATTGAAATTTCCAAGTCAAAGTAACTTCATGGGAGATTAATAGCACTGGGAGAGAGTTGGAAATCCTATGAGGCTGTGCTCCATGAGTAACTTCAACATTTGTGCAGCTATGCAGATCCATAGGCAATGAATCGTATCTTTGTCTGTAAGCACTGATACATAAAGAGAAGAGTAAGGTAAAAATGCCTTCTTTGTGAACACAAAATCGCAATTTCAATCAATTATGAAAATCCAGAGATTTATAAAGTTTTCATCGAAATTTCTGTATTTCGCATTTCTCTTATCGATAAGGGATAATGTTTTTGCTAATCTGAGAGCAAAATTTGGGAGATGTTAAAAATATTGTAAAATGCCGGAACATTTTGAAACATTTTAACACAACTTTCAATCATGTCTTCAATATATTAAACATTCTTTGTTTAATATTTTTATTTGTCCAGAGTCTTTATATGTTAAATATAAATAATCATAGTCTATGATATACTTGTAGTGACTACAGTCGCATTTTCATTCATAGCACGTAGTACTACTACCTTAGTTTCACTAAGGTTGAGATATGAAGAGGTGACATGATTATTAAAAAAGTGATTTTGTGTGATTGATATTAAGGAGGTGTTGGGAACTGGTTCTGCTTCTGTTTCTTTTTTAAAAGCAGAAGCAGAATCAGAATCAATTTTCAGAAGCTGATCACCGCCAGCTTCTAAAAAAACTGATTGTAGGAGTAAATTAGAGCATCAGAATCACTTTTGCACTTTCACCCAAACACTCCAACTTCTGCTTCTGCTCCCTGAAAGAGCAGGAGCAGTTTTAAGAATCAAATCCAAACACCCCCTAAATTGATAAAATAAGAATAAAGTAAAAATGATTTAAAGTCACACAAATTTTAAAAAATTTGTTATGTGACAATCTTAGAAGGATGGAGGTAATAATATTTAAGGAAAACCCTACTAAAGTAAAAATCTAATAAAAAGAAAATATTTTTTAAAAGTTTACAAATGCAATATAAACATCGTATGAGAAATCATAAAAAAGTATTAAATTTGATATGCTTTTGTTAAAATTGGTAAACAAATGAAAATATTATATTCCATAGCATTTTGGGAAATTACCCTAAATAGGACTAAAAACGTTTGTAAATTCCAAAATAGAATTGTCACATTTTTATTCTCAAAATAGGACTAATTACTGTCATGTTTTGGCAGTACCAGACTTTAAACATGGCAGTATTTTCCATACTTGGCAGTAATTACTCCTATTTTGGTAATAAAAAATGGCAGTCCTATGTTGAAATTTTCAAACTTTTTTAGTCCTATTTCAGGAATTTTCCCCGAGCATTTTATAAAAAATAATCGTTTGACAATTTTTATGAAATGTTATTTGCACGTCAATTAATCAAATTGGATCAATTTTGAGTCATCAAACAAAACTAGAGGTGGTTCAATCAATTAACACCCTTATTCAAACCAAACCTATATAAGCATTAGGGTTAATACAAATACATGCGGAGATCCCGAGTCCTGGCGCAATTTTATACGGAAGAAACATCAAAATCGACAAACTAGGGTTTCTGAGAATGATGAATCGATCCAAGAGAGTAAAGATTGGGGAGCAGGCAACGGTGATTATGACGAGGAGTTTAAAAGGGAACTGAAATGATATATCGACGCCTTGAATGAGGTTGGACCCTACAACATAGACTTCATGCCAGCGGATTATTATATTTGCAATGGCGTTGTTCCGGTACCTCTGCCACCAGGTCCAGAATCCCCTGGTTTCAATCATTACTCTTATAGAGAGATGCAAAAATCTTTAAAGTTTGCTATTGATAAACACAACGAAGGGAAGGATGCAAAACTTGTGCTTCACAAGACGTTGAGGGCCAAGTTTAGAAGAGCTTGCGGGTTTATCTTTTTCATAACATTTCAAGCCACACATAGTGCTTCTGGTGAAGAGCATTTATCGAACATGTGTGGTGGATGATGTAGTTGATAAGTTCATGACCTTAAGCGAGTTCCACAGGGTGGAAACCGAGGAGTTAAAGGGTGCATGAAATTTGGAATGTTGAGTATTGTGGCGTGGGTAGTGAGACGTGCCAACCTATGTAGCACGGAAACTCTCTAAAACAAGTGTTTTTTTGAAGAAAAGTTTCCGTTTTCCGTTTCCCATTTCCTCGTGATTTTCGCGTTTTCGTGCGACGTATGTGCCAACAGCTTTAGTTGGGTCATTATCGTTATGCTAAAACTTCAATAAGTTAATTTGTATGCTGTCAACATTTACAATGTAATGTATTACAGATCTCCTTTTCAACTTTTCTTTTCCATGCATTACAGATCTAATTTCTTGTGGATACTTTTTTAATAAAGGTGTGGCTAATATGTACGCGTAACGTGTCTATACATGCAAGAGTTCAAAGAATGGGGAATCATTTGAAGTTCACCTCAGTGAATAAGAGGTTGGATAATCTAAGCTTAAGTTTCCTACTAAAAAAAAGCACAAGGGTTAATAACCTAATATTGCCAAGGTGCAAATGATAGGTTGTCAAGCATATTTCACATTATAGCTTAACCTTTGCAAAAAAAAATCTTGGGAAAAGTACGGAAAAAGTACTTACGGTTGAACCCGTTTTCAGATAGGGTCATGTGTTTCATTCTTTATCAAAGTGGTTCATGTGTTTGAATTCCGTTATCACAAGAGGGTCACATCGTTAAAAACGTCTGAAAAAGACCGTTAAAAGTAACTCCGATATTCAAAAGTGCCTGAAAAATTAAAAGAAAAATATTGGAAGGTGCGCCTCAATAAGACGACCGCTAGGCCATCTTTCTTTTCTATTTTCAGCCACCTTTGTCACCGGAAAGTCCATCGGAAAAGTGATATAAGCGAAATCATTTTTAAAAAATAATTCAAACATATCTGAAAAATCCAAAGGTGAAGGTGGTTTGGAGTCATCTTGACGAGGCACACCTTTCGGTATTTTCATTTAATTTTTCGGGCACTTTTGAAAATCGAAATTACTTTGAATGGTCATTTTTAGACGTTTTTAACGGCGTGACCCTTTTGTGATAACGGAATTCAAACACATGAACTACTTTGATAAAGAATGAAACACATGACCGTATCTGAAAATAGGCCCAACCACAAGTACTTTTTCCATACTTTTCCCAAAAATCTATATATCACAAGTATTAAATTAAGTTACAATTTTCATACCAGATAATGCTAATGTATTGGATGAGATGACAAGCATGTCAACAACAAAAATAACAGCAGGAGGAAATTCCCATACCTGTGAATAAGAATAACATCACTCTCTACGAGAAAAGCTTAGGATGTTTTTACTTAGACTGGAATTTTTTGATCTGGTCTGAACTGGTCTGGGAAACGTCTGGTCTCTTTGTATTTTATAAATGTAGAAGTCTGATCTGGTCTGGTCCAGGTAAAAACATCCTTAGTTGGAATGCATCTCCATGATGATAACTACCCATGAATTTGCTTTGAAAAGAACCTAACGACCTCAAATTTACATTAATTGAGATTTAATGCGGAAAGCAAAAAGCATACCATCATGGCCAAAAGGAAGATCTTTAAGTAACTCGAGACGAGGACTACAAGCAGTACAGACCTATACCTGTCCAATTCAAGTAAATATAAAAAGGAAACTTATCAGGTAAAGATTAAAGTGGTGCTTTTATATTCTCCAACAGTCGTTTGAAAATTTACCCAGAATTTCTAACAATTGATTCCAGAAACCTCGTTGCGCCAAATAGTAATGTTCCAAGAAAAACCAGGTTCCCAAAGATGACTCCAAACACAACCTACACATTTCTCAACATAACTCAAAATGCAAAACCATTACGGTTAACCCTCAAATAGGTGGTACAAACCTTTCCGTAGATGGAGGTCAGTGAAGCAAAGGTCGTAGGCCAGATCCTCTCCTTAGGACTAGTGCATAAAATCATCATTCTATCTTTCATGGTTAAGGCTTATTGGGTGCTACAACACTAGAGGCCCCATTTGGTAAGTTGTTGTTTTTGAATCTACTGATTTCTTTAAAGGGAAAAGCATTTGGTAACCTCTATTTGGTATCCTTTGCGGGTATGCCCTCGTATCAGGATGACATTAGTCATTAGCTAGGCCTCGGTATATGCCCCCCTCCTTTTATGCTATTTCTTATTTTCAATAAAAATGTGAATTTTTTTTAAATATAATCACAGGTTACTTATTATGTTGAAATAAGTTGATTATAGCTACCAAATGGGACATCGAACTACCATACTCTTAGAAAAATAGTAATACACAGATTCATAACCTATGATGAAACAAAATATGCAAATGGAAATGCATACATTTTCTGTCAAGTGTATTGTAACATCACAAAATGGATACAAGAATCCAAGAGAAGGAACACCAGTAGTGATTTCCATAATAATCCCTGCAAACATTAAAGGAGCAGTCAGCATAAACAAATGACTCTGGACAAGAATGCAATTTCACAGCTGAGGATACATTCGGTTAAAACATACCTCAAAATTAAGTTTCTCCCGAGTAAACATATTGTAGAACAAGTGCCTATAAGCTTGTCTTTTATGTAGGATAAAATCAATCAAGATAATCTACACCCAGAAAACAAGACAAAGTGGTAGTTAATCCCATGAAACCATGATTCAAAGTTGAGATTTTTATTATCAATTTTGTCGAAGTACCATGATTTCGCATTCAATGTACTCGTCGGCGACAGCTTTACAGTTCTCCTGCAATTATAAAAAATACAGAATAAAAAACCAAATTCAATACTATGTATTATTGAGGCCCAAGAAAGAGGAGAAAGGAAAGTACGCATTTCATGAGACGTATGTTGCCGGGAGAGTATTGGATGTAGAGAGAGTTAACCGATGATCCACACTCCACGCATCGAAATTTTCCATCTTTGTCCATAATATTTACCAGAAAAGGAAGTAAACTAATCGCTCTCCTACTTTTAACCTTCTGTCTGCAGACAGGGGCGTAAATAGTATGAACATAATGATTAAAATCCATTAAAATTCATAATAATATTATTAAACAGTACATACAATATTTGAAACTAAAATGTATTAGGAGATATTAAGAGATATCCCGGATCCCGCTCAATTAGAAGTGCATCAGAAACTACTTCCTCTTGAGCGGATGAGATATTAGGAGTTTCAATCGAGACATTTAACTCTTCTCTATTTTGTGTGCTTGTACTAGGCTTATAAAACGAACTCAATGTGATTTTTGCCTTTTTGAAAGTAGATTGAGTAGCCGTACCTACTAAAATTAGCAAAAAAATTAAAAAACTGGTCAATATTTTATTTTAATTCATGTAATTCAAATTAATATTTTAAGAAATTCACAAATCACATTTGACATTCCTAACTTTTTATTTGGACAAACACAAACTAAATTAACAAATAAAATACTTAACCTAAACTAAAAATTGTAAAACCAAAAAACAGAAACTCTTACCTAGTTACCTTGGCTTAGCAGACGAGCAGCCGGCGCAGACGAACAGCAGCAGATTGGAGTCCTCAAGGCTCTAGAGAAGAAGACAGCAGTCTAGTGATGGGCAGGAGCAGACGACGAGCAGAAGAGGGGCGTCCGTGCGTGTCCGGCCTCCAGCGATGAGAGCGGCGGAGCGGAGGAGCGAGCGACCGTGGAGCGGCGACGTCCGACGAATCGGCGTTGCAGACTTGCAGTCTCTGTGCGTCAGGTGCGTGATGCGTCGGATGTCATCTGTGTCGATCGGCTGTTGCGCGTCTTTGCTTGATTACGGCCGGTCAGTTTGCTACACTGGGCCAGTCTTATTTAATATTTATGCACTGGGCAATTACAAAAATAAAATTTAAAAATATACATAATACAAAAAAAGGGATTTTTTCACAAATAGCCTTAATTTGAAAATAATATCACTATTTTCACTTTATAGAAGTTTTTCAAACATAAGCTTCCGAACTATTTTTCTTTCATAAATAGTCCACGTCCGTCCCAAACCTAACATACCATATTGTCTTCTCCTTATTAGTGCACGTGAGATTTGAGTCTTTCATTATACAAAGTGCAGGATTACTTCTTTGTTTTTAAATAGGAAAATGTAAAAAGCCTAAAATATGTTAATGCTTAGACAAAAATAAAAAATCTGTCAAATGAAATTTAATTTTTAAAATAACCAGAAACTCAAAGTAAACAATAAAAATAAAAATAAAAAACACAAAATTTGGAAACTTGTAAATTAAATTTGTTGAAAATGAAATTAATGTGTACAAACAAATCATAAAATAAAATATATATATATATGAAAATTTTAAAAAACTTGAAAACAAACAAATAGAAAAGTTTAAATTCGTTAAAGTTTGGGGACAAGTAAAAAAAGGTACAAAGTTTGGATTTATTATGGTAGTTTTCTCAAATAGTTAATGTGATTTATATAAAAATCAAAATTTTCATAGAATGTATAAAATGGTTAAAAAATTAAAAAACGCATAGTTATATAAAAAAATTTGAAATGAGATAAAAATATTTTTAAACTGTTTAATATTATGAAATATTATAAAAAGGGTAATCAATATGTTTTTAGGAAAAGAAAATGTAATATTTTTGAAAAAATAAAGATATATTCATATTAAAAAATAAATATATAAATTTGAAAAACATTCCATAATTTTATATAATAAAAAAAGATATTACATAAATTTTTTTTTGGTAAAATAAATTATTTAATATTATAAAAAATTGAAAATTAATGTTCCTAAAATAGTATAAAATTAAAAAAAAAAGTGGGAAAATGGAAATGAAAATACAAACATGAATTTTTTTTAAATTACATAATTTAACTTTTTTAATGTAATATTTCTTAAAGTACATAAATTTTAAATTATTATTATCATTTGATTTTTAGTGATTGTTGCATCTGGTTTTTTTGTGTTTCATTTTGTTACAATTCTGGAATTTTTGTTTTTTTAATTGTTTGTAGTTAATTTTTCGTATTCACAAAACGAAATTTAACATTTTCAGTGTTTCCATCTAAATCTATATAGATATATCTTTTATGTTAAGGATGTAGAAAAATAAATAGAAATCTAAATAAACAAAAATCTTTATCAATATTAAATAATACTAGTATGTAATAATAAGAAATACAATGCAACAAAAAGTAACATGATGCAACAAAATGCAACACGATGCAACAAAATGTAATACTTGTGGTACAACAAAAAGAAACAAAAATAATACTATAGGTATATAATAATATCACAACAAATATTTTCCTAGACAGTAAACAAGTCTGAAATAACATCATAGGGCAAATAAGCCATGACAAAGTATATGGATCCTCCTAGTCAGGGAGACACTAATATGTGTATAAATTAATGAATGAAGCATCATCATATCAATAATTCTTGCCCGAGTATGACCATATCTTGGCAAGTTTCCCCTAAGCAAAGCACAACGTTCCTTCGGGAAGCTTAGGCTGTTCAAATGGACAACAAAGTGTCTCTGATGCATCCATCTCTCCTTTTTCCTGTGCCTTTACACATCTTCCTCAAAATCCTTTTCATCACACCGGTGTCTCTTATTGATAGGAAAACACCTCCCGCGGATTTCTCAGGCAAAGCTTATAACCTTATACCTTATCAAGACTGTCTCAGGGTGACTTTTGACAGAACTATCCTTTCAAGAGTTTCTACAACCTAGCTAAGAGAATGACATTAACACCTATTTATAATTCCATCATTATTATTTCAGACAAATGATGCATTTTTAACACACAGTTGAAACTTGACCATACATATTGTTAAAGCCAATTTTGATAACTGAGCGCGGTAGAAGTGTACTTTTTATGTCTCAGCCAAAAATGACCAAACTTTTGCTACACTTCCTATGAACATTTAAAGAAAAAGATATATCACTAAATCCATCTATACTTTGCAAAAATAGCAACCCATGGTGTGTGCCTACACCCAGCCACATATCACATTACTACGAACAAATATAATGGAATCATAAATAAAAATAAACAGTAAAAAGCAATAGCTGAAAAATAATAAACATGAAGCGACAAGATAACAACAAAAAGAAACAAGATACAACATAAAACAACAATTAAAAAACACAAAAAAGAAACAAAAGAAACAAAAAGAAACATAAGGAAACAAAAATAAGAACTCATGAATTGTGTTTGCAATAGTGGATAAAGGGATAAATCGGTAAAATGGAAGTAGGTACAGTCGTTTTTTTCTAATATTTCATCATCATTTGGGTGGAAATATGTCTTCCATCCTCAACAGAGGTCACAGACAACAACCTAAACAAGGTTAACCAATTTTTAAGAAAATTAGAGCCTGAAATATGCATATAGAGTATAGAAAGTTCTAGGAGAGAAACTACTCTTGATAACCACGTCTCAATTACTTATATATTAGTCTAGCCAGGTAAAATTAAGCATATCTATAAATTTAGTTCAGTTTTGCATATGAATTTAGAAGTTTAGTTCCATCCCCTTGATTAATTGTTGTTGGAACTTGAATGAATTTTAATTCGTGCTGAACCAAATTAGTTTGATACTAGGGCAAAACATTGAATTAGATTTTGTGGAAGTTTATTATTCAATTCAATTTCAGTAAAACCTAATAAATGGAAATTGTCAGCTCAGAATGGCCATGTATAACAGAGTTCGGATTCAAGACAGTGTGATTAAGAGATGACAGACGAACAAAGAGGGCCGGAGGAATTACCTTTTGACAGAATATTTTCATCACCTGGGAGTTAGGAGTGGTGCGGTGAGCATGATACGCTATCAAGCTATGAGACAAAGAAGCGACCATAGAGTTGGAATCCCAGGTTGCGGCTACTGTGGCAAGTTGGCGTTGATGCTTCGCAAAGCTGCCCAGGAGAAGTCGAAGATGAAAACCACGGAGAAGAGAGTTGGAGAACATGAGTATGAGAGGATGAGAGTTTAATCGTGCGATTCATTTCAAATTTAGAATTAGGCTATTTTTGAAATATTTAAGAATAATTGAAAACTTGAAAGTTAAATATGAAAAGTACTTTCTAAGGGGACATTAATGAAATTCTAGACCCAAATGTGTCCCATTCGGGATATTTCCACTACAAAAAATGAAAAAATTACCCTGGGCCAGAGCCCAGCCCGCCCGCCCCCTCCAAAAAATGAAAAAATTACCCTAGGCCAGAGCCCAGCCCGGCCACCCCCTCCACCTCTGTCTAAAGATTGACCAAGAAGAATGCAACGACAACAGTGGACTGAGCTCAGGCACCGGCATTCGGCAGTCTATTGAGTTTCGTTGGTTGATTTATTTGACCATAATTTGAATTTATGCCCCACTTTATTGTAAAAATTGAATTTTGCACTCCGATTTTAGAGATCTTAATATTTCCACTCAATCCCGTGTGAAAAGACAAAAATGTCTCTCAATTATGAATATGTTGAAGGTCAACAAATTGTTAAAGATGAGCATTTTTAAAAACGGAGTGCAAAGGCCAATTTGAACAATAATTTGGAGTGCAAATTCAAATTTCTCCTTATTTGATCTATAGATTAAAGTGTGATTTTTGAGAAATTGAAAATGGAAGTAGTAGTCCACTTGACCTTGTTTTTATCTTAACCTATCTTATAAAGGCCAGTTTGTGGTATTAAATGTTCATAGTTTGTCATAGTTAAGCTTTAAAGTGTAGTACCATGTGCTATCATAGTGTCGTATGATCTGTCTTTCAAATTATTGACCTCACCGTCCAATTCTACAACTAACGGTGTTAACTTTGAATACTACACTTACTTGTGTTTAATGGCACTTACTCCAGGAATATCATCTACTTCGTATATGTTTATCATTTTTGTTCGACTATTCGACTGCAACATATTTGAATTTTTTTAGTGTTTGATTTTTGTGTCGATTTGTTTTCTTGATTTGAATTCATTTTCCAACCAAAGCATCATACGATTCACACATCTCCGTTCAAGGAGATGTACCATCTCTTATAATTTTTAATTTTACATTCAGATTTTAACTTTTCACAATTTCAAATATACAATGGGATTTGAAGGTCTTTTTGTCTGGCTCCCTTCTCAATATTATGATCAGCCATTTCTAAAGTATCATATGCTCTACGAAACTATTTCAACCTTCTTCACGAAGTTGTTTCCATTGGTTAATGAGTTGGATTGCATTTTAAATATTTTTATCTCGAAGGCTATTTCCCTGTCACTAAAATTTTTGTAGTGCTTGCATTTTACAAATGCAAACTTTGACAGAGCATAAATTTAGCTGATTAGCTAATGTAATATTCCCACGCTCGTTAATGTTATCTCGATTATAATTGAATGGTCTTCACATACAGTTTTTAGCTAACACTCAGATCGGTTTTTACTTTTCTTATAGATTTATTTTCGCTTAATCTTTGAATGATCCCCATTATTTTTGATAGCTTAAAAACTAAAATTAGTGAACTCGTTTTTTTGTGCATGTGTCCCTTTTGTGCATTGTCCCTTTTGTGCATGTGTAAGTATGTATGATATCCACTCAATTTTTGATAGCTTCAAATTATGTGGAATATGCGATATTTATGCATATGTCCCTTTTGTGCATGTGTAAATAAGGTAGATAATTCATTTGTTTGATTTTTTATAGCTACATTTTACTATTTTGTTAGCCTAACACGTATTAATAATTTTGTCTACATTTATTCTGCACTTTCCTATGTTTTCTACATCATTTCCTGCTTAGTTTTTAAGTGTAGTGCCCCCTCCTATATTATTTATTCTACCTACTACTCCTTATGTTTTATCACAT